CCCCCCCCCCACCCCCACCCCCCTTTCCCCAGCGATTACAAAATTTCTAAGTGATCACTAATTTGGTCATTGTTGTCACTAAAGGAGTTCTTTTAAGGCTGAATTCTACACTAGAAAAAAAAAAAAACAATTTAGATGCCTTGAGTTTATTTAAGTTGTTATAATTGTAAAATGTTGTCTTGGTTACGATACAAAAATGTATTTATTTATGTGATGAAAATAAATAAGTATGATGTAATAAAAAAAAACAACTTTTCCATTTATATTGATAACTAAGAATCTTATCTTATCTTATTGTATATGATCTTATCTTATATATATATATATAGACTATATATAATTTTTGTTACACATCACGCGGGTCAAGTCCATATCCCTTATTTAACTCCTTATAGTAAGATTTAAATATCATTCGAAATGGGAATCGCTCTATTACATACTATCCCATATCTACATTTTGTCTACACATTTTCCTCCCTTATAAAATTGTGGCCACATCTTTGCCATCCCCCCCCCACCCCCCGCCTTAAATGCTTTTACCACATATGTCTTGTCCCAATCCCCATTGGGTTTCATAATATGCTAACCGCAACTTTTAATTGCCGAATGGTTTTATAAGGCTGCTCTTCCTCTCTCGGCTGCACATAACCCAATCCGAATGCTTTATCCATAGCACGGGTTCTTAACATATTGGTAGCGCCGCACCTAACTCTAAATTTCAAAAAATTTCCCGACCTCCCCCTCCCCATTTTAATTTTAAAACATAGTCGTCGCCCCCCCCCACCCCCCGCGGACGCTAAAAATGATAATGAAAAGGCAAATAAACCTGATTTTTGTAGGGTCTTCCCGTGCCACCAGGGGCTGCACCACTGTCTTAACACCCGAATATAAAAATAATGAATACATTGTTTGAGGAAGATCTCGGACCACAAGCATAGGAAGTAGGGGTGAAAGGGGGGGGGGGTTGGTCCGCCCAGGGTGGCACTTATTTTCTATTTATTGAGGTGTGGCATTTTCGGCCAACTGCAGAGCTTTTTCGTGGTTAGAATAGATGGATGGGCTTTAAAAATCTTGGTTCACCCCGAGCGTTACCAACACTCGCTATGCCGGTGGCTTGGACAAGGGGGTCACTCTGAGAAACGACCTATTTTATAAAAACCGTTCAGTTTTAACAACCCCAATTTAATTAATTTTTTTTTAAAATTTCCTTTGGTAAAGTTCAGATCACCCATCGTGCTGAAATCTTGCACAATGGCTTTAGTTAATTGGTTAGAAATAGTATGCGATAAAAAAAACTCTTTTTTTTTTAAAAAAATTGACCATCAGTATGTTATTAAACCCCTGTATTATCAATAATTATTGTTGCGGAGGTGGACGACGGACACAAGAGTTTTGCTATTAAAGCCAGTAATTGTTTGTGTTTATGTTATAACGTTTATAACAGTAACGCTATTTTTTAACCACTGTTAACTCTACAAAAAAAAATCTGGATACTTCCTTGAACTGAAAAATGAAGTAAGGGTGCGTTCGCAAATTACGTCACGCCAAAAATACAATTTTAGACCCCCCCTCCCCCTGTCACAAATTCTTACCCCCCCCCCCAAGTATCACGTCACACCTAAAAAATTCAAAACATGCATACAATTTTCATAACTAAACTAAAATTTTATTTTATTCTTTAACATTTTCCATAATGGATTAAGATCTAGGCCTAGTATTAAAAAACTGTGACGTAAAACGCAAAAAAAAACGAAGTCCTTCCCAATGCTAGCCGAATGTATAATGACCACAACAGTTTTTGCGTCATGTGCAGAAGGTCTGAGTGACTTTCACGGTACTTTTAATACCTGAGGCAATTTCGACCTCAAATTAATGTTTTTAAAATTAATTGAATAAAGATGTTTCAAAATTAGAAAATGTTAGATTAAAAAAAAAATTAAAAATTTTGAACTCCCTCCTGCCCCCTGTCACAAATTCTCGACCCCCCCCCCCAACCTGAACGTGACGCAATTTGCGAACGACCCCCTAAGAGTAAGAGACTAAGACTTAGGCCTTAGCCTTAGGCCTTACAAAGACAGATTTTTAAAATTAATTGAAAAAAAATGTTTCAAAATTAGAAAATGTTAGATTAAAAAAAAAATTAAAAATTTTGACCCCCCCCCCGCCCCCCGTCACAAATTCCCGCCCCCCCCCCCCCCAACCTGAACGTGACGCAATTTGCGAACGACCCCCTAAGAGTAAGAGACTAAGACTTAGGCCTTAGCCTTAGGCCTTACAAAGACAGACAGCTGGAATAGTAGTTATAATTCGTCTTAAAGTTAAACATTTGAACGCGGTATTTTCAGAAATAATCAATATTCACATTACTGCTCGATCAGCTTTTACAGGCGAGTGACCTCCATGCAAAACCAAAGCATATCGACCGTGAAATTTCACATGAATTCAACCCAATGCTCATGTCTATAAATAACTTTTAACGAGAAAAGGGAGTTAAATGGCGTATGAATGGTCAATGGATCAGCAGTTCTCAAACATAACGATACATAGTTTTTAAACATTTATATTAAACAACATTTCAGCAGTAGCACATATATCCTTATTTAATTATTCTTTTTTAATTTATTCATAATTTTTTACTGGTTCTTCAAATGGCATATTTAAAAAACAGCCACGTAGTTACCGTACATGGTCTTTCTCCAGTCTCTTTAATTGAGAATTATTAATGTTTGTTCACTATCAACAAGTTTGTCAACATACTTTATTACGAAAACTGATTGGATAACTACTACGAGTATTGATACTCGTCAATGCCTTATAAGGATAATGACAATAACAAACCTTCGATATTCATGTTTTTACTATAATAATGGTGTATAAAAAAAAGAATTAACACAGTATGCACGAAGAAAGTTTTATATCTAATATATTGTACTATAAACAAGATGTAAATAGATCATTTTAATCATTTGCCATGTAAGTTTCCTAGATTGTTTCACTCTCGTGAGGATCTGTTTTTACCCAAGATTATCTCTAAAATAACATGCCGCAGACAAAAATATTTCTGGTAAAATATATATATTAAAAATAAAACCAATCCATCAAATTTGACACAACTACATATTATGATAAATTATAAGGCACTGGGCATGTAGCTCTAAATTGGAATGCAGTTCATTATGATAACCAAATGTAAACGAATCGCGTAATGGCATATTTGTATTGGAACTACTTTTCAAAATGGCTACCCTGGCAAACCTTCGTGTTATGACGTGCCTCTGCAAATAGCAGCCTTCTTCTACACTGACCTTGGATAACAGTTAAACTTAAATTGTGCTAAATATTAAAAAGGCTCTTTCGAACGTATTATTGTTTTGCTACATTAAGCCTGTGAAACGTTAAAGGTTGTCACTTGGTCACTGTAGATAAGGAAAGTTTAGTCCTGCTTTAAAGGAAAAGTTGCAGATTGGCTCTGGCTCTGGGAAAAGTTCGTTTTGTTAAATTGCATCGTTGGAACAAAATCAGCTGGATGGGGGGTTTCCCCTTTTGTTTCCTATGGTGCCTCCTAGAAGAGCATTTATGAAGGAAATGAATGCCGACGAGTTGACCTCTGGCTATAAAGCCACAACAAATTGTGATTTAAACAATGGTAGGCCTAATTAATCAACTACTACTAATTTACTTATATTGGCAATGGCCTTCTAAGCTAATCAATCACTTTGGAGACTCTAACTTTAAATTTAACTTAACTCAGTTTTATAGTCTTACTCTTACTTCTTATTTCTTATTCTTAGTAACTGATGTTTATGCCTGGCAGCTAGTGTGGGCTGGTGTGTTAATATTACTTATGCCTATTATTTACACTAGTCCAAACTAAATCACCATATTTTATTATTTAATTTTTAATAATTTATTATATTAATATTATATTTAATATTTATTAAGAAAGTGTCTAAATTAACTACCAATAGCCAATAGCTTCTGACTAGGGAGCTATTCGTAGTAAATTATCAACAGCATCTAGAGAGCCATTGACTATTGGTAGTCCGGCTAATCCTAGTTACGACTGCCACGACTTTTTCCAGGGAGTGACTTCCCTTTTTTTATTTTTACTAAATTATTTTAGGGATTGATTTTATGGTTCAGGTTAGGCATAGGGATCGGTTTATGGTTCAGGTTAGGCATAGGGATCGATTTAGGGTTCAGGTTAGGCATAGATAGGGATAGATGACTTAATGTTACGTGTTAACCAAGATGGCGCCATTGAGAAAATAGTGGCAATCGTAGTCAAAATTTACAGGTAGTCAAGCCAATCAAACTAAAACCAGAACTTTAAACCCCGCTTTCAGTCACGGTAGCGAAGTAATGCCCTGTTCATTTGGTACTAGTGACCTCGGCTTGATAATAAATCCTGAAATAATTTAAGCTTTAAATTGCTATTTTGATACTTTTGAAGATTTATAAAATGCCATAAAAAAAATGCTGTCTTTATACTTTATAAAAAAAGAGAGTGACCATTTACCAAAAATAGCTATGGTTATAGAATTATAATTTATAATACAGACCTAATATAGATTATAACAAATAGATGTATAATACTGGGGGAAGGGTATCATTGTCATAGTCTGAAAAAATTATACCTTGTTTCAATTTTGACAAAGTATTATGTGCAAATCTGAAAAATAAATTCCAGTTAAGACTGAGAAATAATTTTATTGTAAAACTTTAGTGTGTGCTAATTAATATGATTAAAATCATATATTAAAATATAGGCATAAATATTTATAATTACCATAATAATTGTTTTACTACATACAAATGTGCATATTAAAAAAGTCTTGTTACTTTAGTTAAATGAGTAGTATAATAACGTGATTAGGCTTAAACTTAAACATGACAACAGAAGCTTTGGCCAATCTCTGCTTAGGATTCCCCCCCCCCACCCCCCCCAATTGAATTTCTGGTGGGAGATAAGCCTACTGAGTATTATTTACACAATTGACAATTGAGCGCTCCGTTAACTTATAACGGCATTGATATTTTTAAGTACAATTCAAAAATTTCATTTGGACAATTTGGTTAATTGTTCATCTTTAATATTAATTTAACGTCTAAGAATCGCTATTTACAATTTTTTTTTAAAAGCTATACTAGATCAATTTTTTTAACAGCTCAGAATCCAATTAAAAAATAAGCAGCAATACATAAAATATATTCAAACAACGGAAAATAAGCTTATTATCTCTTGTAAATCTGGTTTGGAGTTAATTTGTGAGACCAGACACAAAAAATATATTTTTTAAGTGCACCACGACCTGACAGCTGTCTTAAACATTGGCACATGTTTTTTGGCAAGTTGTTTTATTGGTGACACAAAAAGTAGAAATTTCACATACCTACTTACGAGTAATTTCAGAGATGTAATTAAGAAAATAATGACTACCAATACTTAGTCAATACTGCACTAGGTCATTCTATCACAATTAGTAGTTTTTGATATTAAACTACCAATAGCCGCTACTGGTAGTAAGTTATGGGTAGTTTACTACCAATAGCCGTAGCCTTTATTAATGACTAATAATAATGATGCTTAAATTTTTTATGTCTGGATTATCATCCTCTACATTGTATTGTACTTGAATGACACTACCACCATCCATTTAATGATGATCCATTTTATATGCAATGTATGTCTATCCCTATACTAAACTCTTTCTTTTTATTCCTGCTTTAAAGCCCTGTTATCCTAGGGATGTCAATACTTTTTTCTGCTAACTGGTTATCAGTTTAAGGAATCGGGTTATCAAATTTTTTTTCCAAAGGTCAGACTCACTTTCAAGATTGAAAGAATCAGATGAAATATATTTTTAGAACAGTCAAAGCACATCTCATACTCATTGATAAAGTTTGGTACCAGCACTTTTAATCAATGAACAAATGACTACATATTGTTGTACAATGCGATTTGTACTTACCCAAAAGTGTGAATTGATATATACAGTAGATTATATGCCTGTAAAGTCAAGTTGACCATGTATTTCATTCCAAGGTGCAGTTATCTATTTTTAGAAACTTTTCAAAATGGCTACAATCAAGTGCCTATCTTATATAGTATACTCTACGTTTATAAATTTTTGAAGTATTTTATTTTTCCATTATTATTAAAAGTCTGTATTAAAAAAAAAATCATCCTTATACTATTCCAATGCCATATAAATATAACACATATTATAGGGAAACTTGAAAGATCGCAATGCTTAACAATGGATGTTTCGACTAGAAATCCTTTAACAGCAAACAAAGAGGGACAATAGAAATATTAACTTAGCCAATGATAGAAAACAGGAACCATATTGAATCGATTCGGGTTTTCCTGTCCTCTATGTGTGCTATATATCATATTGCTCTAACCTGAATACAGTCCTCCCATATTACACTTATACTATACCTAATAGGCCTATATAGTCATAAACTATAGTAATCTTACAGTCATTACTGTGTAATATACAACATCAATGACATGTTTTAAAAAAAAATGATATTCTTAAACAGAAAAACTAAGTAACTAAGCTCTGTCTTTTGCTTCAGTGCAGGGTTTCTCAACCTCCAGGGTATGTGGGTATCATATCAGGGAGTGCAAAGAAAGGAGATTTAAGAACAGAGGAGATATTAGCTTTTAAGTTATGATTTAACTTTTGTATGTTTTTAAACATTCTTTATTGTCAAAAGTTAATTTTCTAAGCTCTACATTTCTATTGCAATTCTGTAGATAAATTAGAATTCCATTATTTTCATATTTTAAATTGCACTGTACTTTTTGTAGTGGGTACGAGATTTAGTAAAAAATTCTGATGAGGTGCTAGAGTATTTAAATAATTTGTAAGAGGTGTGGAGCATAGACAAGCTTGGGCAACACTGCTTTAGAATATATGTTAATTTCTTCCTTTGAATACAATAAATAGTTGAATTTTACTTCATGGGACCTATATCATATTAAGTAATACTGTGGGACCTGATACAGTGTACTTAATCCTCGCTGCCAGGCTTGAGGTACCCAGAAAAGCTGAGTTTCTGCACACCCCACACGTAGCTGGACGGGGTAATTAAACAGAACAGTAAAATGTGCATTTTTTTCTTTTTGAATTTTCATTGTGAAATTTAAAATTTAAATATTATTTACATCGACGAGAGTAGTTTCTGATTTTTACTTCTCTCTGAATACTCTACAACTACATAAAATAAAAACTATGATGTAAATGTCGGAAGCTGATTTAGTATAAATATTTTGGGAAAATTATATTATAAAGCCAGACCTGCCAACTCTTCTGATTTTGTCGGAATTATACATATTTTTTACCCCTCATTCCGACCTTTCAACAAACCCCTTAAAATTCCGATTATTCGAACTTTATTATTCTTCACCCGTCTTAAAAATCTGAAAGCGACAAAAAAAAAAATCGGGTTAAGACTGGGAGTGGTGCATTTGTTTTTACAAAATGTCTTCTTCGTGTCTGGTGACTGGACGAAAAAGTGATTTAATTCTTGAGATATTCTTCCGGCTATATATATTCGACCAACTCACATGACCACAGTAACAAAGTTGTGCGAGATATTTGTTTGTCAGCCTTAAAGCTATTTGTGTTTTGAAACCGTCAACTGTATGATGCTTTGTGATCGCTGCTAGTTCTATAAATGCACTTTTCATTTGTCCCCATTGGGTGAACAAATCATATAAACTGTGAAGATAACCCTTTTTTTTTGTTGGTCAATATACCCAGACCGGGTGTAAAAAAAACTGGTCGGAGCTCTACTCTCCTCAGCGAAGTGTGTGGTGTGAAATGTACCATAGCCTTTAGTGGTATATAGCATTATATGGATACAGGCTGTGTAGGATTAGTTTTTAAAGACTGTTTTGGGTATTTATGATAAATGCAGATGGGAAACTGAGATTCATGGTAACAAAAAAAGTTATACAGGGAAGTTGTTGTACAATGCACCAGTGTATTTTAGATTAAAGGTATTATAACTTTTTAATATACAATGACTCACAAATTTAATATATAATTAATAATAATATACGTCTATCACAAGGTATTTCTGATCATGTAAGGAAATAATAGATGACAATTTAAAAAAATCATACGTCCAATGCTTAGCAGGATGCAAAATATGCCTTAAAAGCGCTGTATGTGGTCATCAGGCAGCCCTGGAAAACGCTTTTCTTTTAAGTTTCAAGTAATTTGAAAATTTTCTGATATTGATTTTTATTAGATTTGATTGTAATATTCAACTTTGGTGAAAGCAATATAATCACGACACCGTATCCGGAAATTTCGTCGACGGTAAATTGGTCGACGGTAATATGATCGAACGGAAATTTGGTCAAATCTTATTTTCTATTTTTACGTTACAGTTTTGCATCAAATTTCGTTTTGGACGAATTATTTTGTTTTACTAAATAGTATAGTGCGTTCAAAAAGAAATTTGACGAAAATTTTAACGTGCGAACGGAAAAAAAAGATTCGACCAAAGTTCCGTTCGATCAAATTACTGTCGATCAATTTACCGTCGACGAAATTTCTTTCGATCAAATTTCCGGTAACCTCACGACACAGATATCGTATTAACTAGATTTGGCACATATCAGTATTGTTACAGGGATTAATACTCAATAGAAAATGTTATTTAGGGCCATAGTATATGTATAATTTTGACAAGGTAACATTGATCAAAACCTTATTCTCAGACTATTAGTAGTGATGTTATGAAAGAATTTACATTTTTAAAATTAATGATTTATTTTAATGGCTCCTTGTTTTAACTTGTATCATCCAACTAACATTTTCATATGATAGAAAGTATAGAAAGATTATTAACTGAAGCATTGTAATTTAGTTTTAGAAAACCATTGATTTTAAAGCTTTAATAAAAGATTACATAGTTTAAAAGATGATCTGTTGTAATTATTTTTAGCAGGGCCTGATTGCTCTCATTGCTTAATATTATGTAGTAATCATCTGCTTGGTGGATTTTGTCCCTTTGGTTCAGAATAGGCGGTCAGTATTGGTCGCCAAGGAGACCAACCTGTTCCACACCTTTGTCTTATTAGTGAATTTCACTGACCTTTGCTTTGAGTATCAAATTTTACAATTATTAAGTTGATTAATTGTGTATCATAGAAAATGACATGAATAACTCTGTATTGCTTCTTAATTCAGGATTAATGATGCACCACACGCATTCCCATTGTGATTATTTGGAAGAGTTATAGCAAGATGTCTTAATTCTTAACTGAAAATATCATATTTTAACAAAATTCACGAAATTCATTTTTTAAATTTAGTTATCTTTGATGAGACAATTGTCCTCTCACTCCGAAAATCATCAGTAAATGAATCTGGGAGGCAAAATTAATGCAATGGAACAAAATTTGGTTTCTAAAGTAGTTGAAAAAGTTTTTTGTAGTTTAAAATAAATAGTCAATATTTCAAAGAACCTTTACCCTAACACTTATTATTCCCATTTGAAGTGTTTAGATAAAGAAACTTTATTAAATGCTTTAATTTTAAAGGATAGTCAAAGAAAGCTATTACAAATTGAATTTTTACTTTTGTCTTCTTATTTTTATTGAAGTTTAGTTATATAGCAGATGAAAGAAACCATTAAATTTAGCCATTGCCACCCGATACAAACAAAGCCATCGGGGAATGCTAGCTGGGGCATCACACATCAAGTGGGCAAGCTATTTTTTTGTGGCACCAGTCGTAATAGAGCACATGAAAGCAGTTGAGTGGGTAACTATTTGTGTGGTGGTTCACTCAGTATTTGGGCACCAGTGTCCCCCAGCAGCATATGAAATCAATAAATTGACCAGTTCTCTTGCCTGATGCTGGCTCTGTTGATGTAACCGCCACACATCAAAAGGCAGACTATCTCTCCCTCCCAATTTTTTTGTGCCCATTTACACACACACTTTGCGACCCCCTTCGCTGTGTTGCTATACATCACAGATAAGGTCTTGTTCAGGTCCTCGCTGCTCATGCATATTAATGGGATCAGTGGGCCTGATGTTACACATCTGGTGGTACACGCTATTATTAGTTTAGCATTGTGGCTGCCAGTTATGGAATTAATGGAGCTCAACGCTCGGGTAATTACAAGTCTTGAGACATGGCCAGAAAATATTATTAGAAATATAAAAAAATGTAAAAAAAAAAAAAGCAACACATCCTTTGCTCTTAGAGTATAAAAGCAGCATGCTTTAATATAATTTTTTTTAGTGCTGATGTGAGTAACTGGTGAAATAACTTTTTTATTCTGTGAGGCTTTATAAGAATATGTTGATGTAATGTATGTCTAAAATAAAGTTTTGATGTAAAAATTTTAGTTTTATAACTACTGTTTAATATTGTTTTTTGAATTCAACAGGTGGTTAGTTCAGCCAGGCTGCTGGTGGCTTAAGCAATTATCTTGTTAGCTGTAAACTCACCATATGTGTTGCTATTTAAAAATTGAATGAATTTTCTTGTGAATTGTATTTGTATGACATTTGTAATACTGTACTTGAATTAAAATATCGATTGTATTTTTAAGGGCATCAAATGTTAAAAATATTGAAGCAATTTTGAAAAGAAAAATGGTTATAATTTTATTGTGAAAAATTTATTTTTTGTCCTCAAAATGTTTTCCCTTTCAAAACAAATAAAGTATATTTTTTTGTGGAGACAATTGACAAAAAACTGAAATGTAAAATAACTTTTATTTGTGTCTGTAATTACAGTTTGTAGTTTAAAAAATTTTATGACATAGAGTTCAGTAATGTTATATTGTAAGGTTTTAAGTAATTTTAACTTACACATTTTTTAAATTGACCTGGTTTTCTTTTTTTTTTCCTCAGGATGAATTCCACCCATTTATTGAGGCCCTCTTGCCTCATGTCAAGTCTTTCTCCTATACATGGTTCAATCTTCAGGCTTCCAAACGGAAATATTTTAAGAAACATGAAAAGAGAATGTCAATGGAAGAGGAGAGGAGGGTTAAAGAAGAATTACAGGTAGCTGCCAAATTATAATTACTGTACACATGCTGTCTTTAATCATGTATCATATTTCATGCAGTTGTTGAATCATTTAGCTAAATTATTTAAAAATGAAGTTTAACATACCTTTTCTTGAGCATACCTAAAAACTGACGAATATGTTTTATTTTTAACACACATTTAAAAGTATAAAATTTCTTTATTGGAATAACTATTTAACTCTAAAATTTGTACATTTAAATTTCTTGATTACTATTATGTTTATATAAATTCATAAAAATAAATAAAGCTGAGCTGATTATGACTAAAAAAGTAAAGGCAACTTTTCAAAGAAGTTTATTTTTTAAATATTAATGTTCAACTCAAATCTTTTATCCTCACTTCTTCCCAAAGAATGAAAAAGCAGATGTAAAACAGAAGTGGGCGTCACGGCTCTTGGCTAAGTTACGCAAGGACATTACACAGGAGTGTCGTGAGGATTTTGTGCTCAGCATTACACGCAAGCGATCACCCATCTGTGTACTTAGCAACCCTGACCAGAAAGGAAAAATGAGGCGCATAGATTGCTTGCGACAAGCAGACAAAGTTTGGCGCTTGGACCTGGTCATGGTAATTTTATTCAAGGCTATCCCATTGGAGTCAACTGATGGTGAAAGACTGGAGAAGTCGCCAGACTGTCTCCACCCAAATTTATGTGTTAATCCCCATCACATAAGTGTTTCGGTCAGGGAGCTGGATCTCTACCTGGCCAATTTTATACACAGTTATGGTGAGTACCTTACCTGCTAACCACTCATAATAGTTTTACATGTCTGTTTTTAAAAAATCAACTCAATTTTAGAAAGTTATCAGCAGTTTTAAAATACAGTTTTAGCAATTCAACTTTTATGGTGTAAAGTTGGAAGAGGACTGTATTCAAACTTTAGACCTAGTTACTCTTTTGACTTTGTCATACAATGTAGGATTTTGAGATGCTTTATACCATTGTATGCTGAGACCTGTCAGAACTATGATTTTTTAGAGACTGGGCTGAAAAAATATATTCTGGTAGTTTTTATCGTTAAAAAAAACAAAAACAAACAAACCTTATTAGCTCCTTTTTACATCCGGCAGTAAATGGACTGAGAAATACAATTTGTTGGGGACTAATCTATAATTTTATTACATCTGCTTGGGGGGGGGGGGGTGTTAGTATTGACAAAGTATGGGTGCATGGGGGGGGATAAGTGATAGGTTTCTAAATATTTTTAGGGACTATAAAATAAGACAGCCACTTTTTGTAATGAGGGGACTATGTTGAAGTTTAATAAGATTGGCTGGGGGGGGGGGGGTGTTAGTATTGACAAAGTATGGGTGCATGGGAGGGGATAAGTGATAGGTGTCTAAATATTTTTAGAGACTATAAAATAAGACAGCCACTTTTTGTAATGATGGTGATGATCTTCATATTGTTTCTTAGTATATTCACAATGAACTTGCTAGATATGGCAACAGTAATATTTAGCGTAGTCACACTATTGACAAATATAGTCGACATTTGCTTTTGTTTGTTTTGGTGTTGTATGACATCAGTTTGTGACATAATTATTTCGTTCTTTATTGAACTTCAGGCTCCTGTGTTTAATGCAGGGGTGGCCAACTTGTGGCACGCCCTGTTAAATATCATTGTCCACCAGATGTATCACAAATAGACTTATTTCTTTGTTCAATTGGCAGTTATTTTTATTCTTGGCATAAACTTACATTTGAGATATATCAACATGTTTTGTGATGGTTCGCACCATTTGGGTGCACCCGCCCCTTTTTTTGGTCTGATTTAAATAAAAAAATATATGACATAAGCATGGGCGCCTGCAGGAAGGGGCAAGGGGTGCACTTGCCCCCCCCCCCCCCCCCCCCCCCCCTGGATTGATTGGATAAAAAATTTGTAGACAAAAATAGACACACAATTTATTAAAGTAAAGAGAAAATAAAGAGAAAGTAATTAAGCTGATGTCCTGTCCGTTCATTCACCATACAAATACACTACAGTAAATTAAAACTATATTAAAACATTACTAAAAAATTTTTGCCCCCCGTGGAAAGTTAATCGATTTTTTTTTGCCCCCCAAAAAGAAAGTTTTTTGCGGGCGCCCATGGACATAAGTAATATCAAATCTTAAATAAAAATTATGAAACAATTTTAATATTTAGTAATTACTAAAATAAAAAGTATTTATATAAACACAGCTGGTAGAGGGAACTTAAATTTCCACAAACATTAGGATTAAGTGTAGAATGATAAAAACCTATATTCATGGATACGCCAAAGTGCATCCCTGCATTTTGAATTAAAACAAAAATTTCTGGGAATGGGGCTCAGCACCCTCCCCAAACCTGCTCAGCACACTCCCCAAATCTCTCCCCCACTTTTGCTCAAGTAACTTTGGCATAGGTCTTCAATTTCTGCCTGCCCATCCCATTTATGTCTATCAAAGTGGCAAAGTTTGGGAAGTGACCTTTTTAGACATGCAAGGCCAATAGTTTATGTATAAATTAGAGTGTATGCTTATTTCTCTACTCTTATGACATGGTATTGTATGATTGTGAGTTGTTAAAGTACTATTCTGAAACAATATTGCATTATTTTGGGAGTTCCAGGGTCAACAGGTCTGAAGCTTGTATAAAAGCTTAAGCACAATGTATGTTAAGCAGGACAGAAGTAATAAAAATAATTATTAGCAGGAGACTCAAAAATAGTATTAAAAACTTTGTTGAAACACAACCCTCCACAACACCCAATAATAAATAAAATAATTCACTTTAATAAACAAACCAGTGTTATCTAGCTTTAGGAATGTATCTTATTAACTGTAAAGAAATTTAAACATTTTCAGTGAAATATATATGAAAAGGCACGGGGATGATATCAATTCATAGATGATTGGATAGAAAGGAACATTACGATTTTGAAATTGTGTTTATAGTAAATAAACCATTTCTTTTAAAGTCTGAGTTTTCTATAATTAAGGCTTTAAAATAAGCACAAAAAAGGGAAACAACAGACACGACATTAACCTTTAAAATTGAATACTCTTGCATAAGTATTTTAATTAAATCTTCAGGGTATATAAGGTTATTGCCCCAGTTCTGTAAATATTCCCCTAGTGTTTCATTTACATAACAAATTGTAACATCTGGTTAATGTGATATGAGGTGTGATATTTAAGGTGTCAGTTTTATTGTGTGGAGTCTGATAATTTCTTTTATTCTGGCTTTTTCTGATACAATACAGTGTTTGGCCTAGCACCATTTTGTGCATCAACAGACCCAGTCCACAAAAAATTTGCAATTTTTTTTTTTTTTTTTTACCTTAATGATAAAGGAGAACGTTTAGTTTTGCCGAGAGACTATAAGCATACTTGTCCTGTGTCTTTACAGACTGTGGCCCTGCATCTTGATATAATTATGCGCAGCACGTATTATTATTTAATAACAAAAAATTTGCAATTTTTTTTTTTTTTTTACCTTAATGATAAAGGAGAACGTTTAGTTTTGCCGAGAGACTATAAGCATACTTGTCCTGTGTCTTTACAGACTGTGGCCCTGCAGCTTGATATAATTATGCGCAGCACGTATTATTATTTAATGCACCTACTTCATTGTATCCATCATAATTTGCCCAACATTATCATTTGACCCATGGATTGAGACTTAGTCAAATTTCTGCCTAACAAAATCTAATTCCGTCAAATTTAAAAACAATTCCTTTCTCTTTTACTCTAAATTATTACCATGCAACTTTTTTTTTTGTTTTTTTGGTAACATTCTGAATTGATTTTTAGTATTCTATTGAAATGATAACTTCTTAAAACACTTAGCAAATATTTCCTGACTGCATTCCAACTTAATCTACACCAGATGTTCCTAAACCCTGGTTCCATGGACTTGTTAAAGCTGTTTGAAAAATATATCTACCGTTGTCATTATTTGTCTAGACCTCGATTGCTAACAACCATTAAGGTTTAAGAGCTGCTAATAAACTGTCTAATTCAAGATGTAGCAGATTTATCAACATCCAATTAGGGAGTTGGCTAATTTACCAACAATACTCACCACACAAATTTCAAATTAGGGAGTACCAAACATACATAAATGTCCCATTCTATCCCTGTTGATTATTAAAATAAATTTTATGTAGACTTTAGTGAGCATCACCTGAACTGGTATTAGTAGTTTAATATTAATAAAAGTTAATCATATGGGGAGTATTTACATATTCCTTTGCAACAATTTTTTTACTATGGCACTATGCAGGTGTCGTGGGAGGTTATCATTTGAGAAAGTGTAGACAATTCACTGATTACTGAATGGCTATATGTCACTGGGTCACTTTGCAAATGAGTACCTAACTTGTAAGCTCACTTAGCAAGCTTGAGAGCTGGAAGATCTCTTGCCTCGATCCTATGACTGATTTGATCCAGTGTTAGTTATGATTGAAATATTTGGTTTGTAATCAGCTGAGCTGCATTGACAGGGTTTAGGGCTTCAGACAGACTGAATTTTAATAGTTATAAGTTAGATTGAGGTTGAGGTCTAGAGTTGATTTTTTATAGACTTGCATTTGGTAACTCTGAACATTGATTTACCTGCCAGCTCATAGACAACAAAAAGACTTCAATTTGATATGGCCATAGGTGTACACAAAATTTTATAATGTTTGAGTAAAATTTTGCCTATGTGTATGTTGAGTTTTTTGTACTTTAGACAGAACTTTTTAGTATTTTAATTGGTATCAGGTACTATTTTTGTATCAGGGATCTTTCAAAACTATAATTTTGCATAGAGAAATATATTACTTGTTTCTGCATAATTATATACAAAAATTACCATGGGTGTTTATTTTAGCAAGTCCCATAGTGCTAGTTCTACTACCTCATTCATTTACTAGGGTATATGTAAGAATTTGGTTCATAGCTCTTCAGTTTAACTATACTTATGCTGCTTGAATATTGCAACACCACCATCCTTGGTAAGAGACCTATCTGGTTTTTAAATTCTTATTTGTTTGAATTAAGATGGAGCTTGTTCAGTTTTAAATGTTTTATTATTTTATCTCAATGAGTGTTTTTATTTCTTATGACTCCCAAGAGTGGAACACTTCTTTCCATTTTTTGTTTTTCTTCTTCCTTTCTAGATAAAGATCTGTTTCATTTGAAGCGTGCCTCATGCTGTTAAAATAGCTCTGTGCTGTTGCAAACATCCATCATTTGGAATCATGCTTTGTGACAGTAAAATCTTTCAGTTGCTCACAGCATCTCTTTGTTAGCTACAGTTACACTTAAAGATGTCCCAGAAAAATCATCTTTACACGTGTAGAGTTAAAAAGCCATTCGTTTTCTGAAATTAATGACATTCACATTTTATTTTTATTTTTTTTCAAGAAAACTTTGGAGGAAGAAAAAAAAAATTCAGATTGCTTAAAAACAAAGCATCTACCTGTCCTACTGTCCTTTCTGAACTAAATATTTACCTGGTAAAGAAAATATTGATAGCTTAAAGATTAAATTTAAACAAAAATTATTAATTTTTTTTTTTTCAATTTCATGTGGCATTTTTCTCCTGACACTTCTTTCTTTTAAACAGTGCAGCATATTCTGTTTTAGACTCTCAGCTATCACTGCTCCTCCCTCCCCCCTCTTGGGCCAAAGTTTAAAATGCTTGCCAAGAAGTTTAGTTAAAAAACTGTTTATTTCTTAGTTCTTGTGCAGAATGCTCTGCTACTATAATAGTCAAAGTTGAAAGTTCCCATGTTGATTAAGAAATTTTTTTCTCCTCATCATAAGGGTTTTAGAATGAATCCATTTCTGTTTCCATAACAGACAGAGAAATATCTTGTCATTGATTTCACTGAGCAGTTCCTGTGTATTTTAGTCACGCCGCTATCCCCTCATCATCATTCTCAGCAGTGCTTATCTATCGACCTGTCACATTTGTTTTTTTTTTCATTCATTTTCCTTAGTGCCTGATCTCAGAGGTGACTACATTGACTTGTCTATGAATGGTGATCCTGACATGAAAGGTGAGTTCCCCACTCTCCGCAAAATCTTGCCAATGTAATCAGCTTGCTGTAGAAAAAAAATCCCTTAATTTGAGATGAAGTGGCCTAGAAATGACCAGGTTTCTTGGTGACTTTTCAATATTTCTGTTATGGAATGGTGCCTTAATTGCAGTGGGGCCATAGCCTTTTTTTGCACAAGTTGGCATGGAAAAAACATAATTTTATTTGAAAAAAATATCTATTAATAATAATTTTTCAGAGGAATATTAGCAAGAAAAATGGCATATATAATTTAAAGTGGTGCTGTTCCAGGATAGCTATCCCATGTTCTGTCCATATGTTGAAAAAATCGACAAAATGTTCACTTAAAATATGAATAACACTATTTTAAAGAGAAACAATCCATCTTAGGGCAAGAATATGTTGAGAACAGCATTTCCATTATAGGCATCAATTTTTTTTAAAAGTAATGACAGTTGCAAAGTTTCTAATTTTGCTTTAAATACATTTCTCGCTTCAAAAATATAAATGTGATTGGTTATTTGAAAGTAGTTAGCAGCTTTGCTGATAACTTTAAATAAGCAGTTATTGTAATCACATCATTTGGCCTTTTACCATCACATTTTCTATGCATGCCCTTTTTCTCTGTATTGACCTATTCATACTATTAACCCTAGCACCTTTTCTAAGGGTCTAGAGCTAATTTTTCCCAGCTTGAGGTGCCCCCAGGGAATCTGAGGTGGCATTTTTAGTGGGTGCGACAATTATAATAACATAGGATCTTGTGAAGTTATAATTTGTGATATAAATGTTTATACTTTCTCAATTTCTTTATTAACATTTTACTTTATGTATTTAGTCATAAGTTATTGATTAGTTCTTCAGTTCTCTTTGTAGTAAATTTGAAGTCCATTTTTTTTTTCAAGCTTTAAACTATGTTGTGATATGGTCTGCTACTTCATCAAACAATTCATTGGGAGTGCAGAGTTTCCCTTTTATTTATTTTTTGGGGTTTGTAATGGCTTTTTCTTATTGAAACTTGGATTCATTTTTTTAAGTGTATTTTCAAAATGAAACAAATACCAAGATGTTTCGGTAAGATGCTGTGTTAATTGTCATGCCATCCATGTCAAATGGATACATGAAAAGAAAATGAAGGATCACTTTCTTGGTTACTTGGCCTAAACTGAAAGTTTGTTTCTCTTCACCAACATGAGCTTAATTGAATGTGAGCGTTTCAGCCAGATTCAAGTCTCACAGTTTTTGCTAATTTTTTTTATTTGGATAAATTGAGTTACTTTTTCGTGGTGTAACAGTTTACGGGCTTGGATAATTGCTCAACAGCTTATTTCGGATTATGGCTGACTGAGCAATTTTTTTTATTGCATTGTTTGTACATCTTGAACTCTTTTTATCAACTACCAGGTGTGAGTTGTTTATCCTGGCCTATCTCAGTTATTTATGCTTATCCCAGTGTATAGAATGTAAATAAGTCTTAACATTGAAAAGCTCACGGAAACCTGAATGGAAGGGAGAAAACAATTCTTTTGTCTCTCAGTACTTAGAATACACACCCAGCTGAATGTTATTTTGAAAATCTCTCTCAGCCCAGGCTTATCAACATTAATCTGTAAAGTTGCAGGAAGATTTGCAGTTTGTTACTTTTACTTGCAGATGCAGTTTAAGTGTAAAATCAAAAATGTCCCTGGAATGGGTCAACATTTTTAGAGTTTGAGGAAAGGAAATTTTGAATTAAAAAAAAAAAAAGTTTTGACAATTCTTTAAAAATAAAATGTGTATAAATAAATTAATAAGTCAAACCATTAGAAATGGTGTAGCTTGAAGAAATTTAAGATGATTTTTATTCTCCACAGCCATTCCTTTTTTTGTTGGAATTTTACTCATGATTTCAAACCTTTAACATAAAATTAATTTTAAAACTAATAACTTTTCATCTTTAAAAAAAAAAATGATGACTGCTAATGCCATTAAAAAACAACAACTCATTTAAGGATTATTTTGCACATTTCTTCTTTTGTTTGATAACATATGGCCTTTTAAACTCCAGTTCTAGATTTAGGATCTGGATAAATGATGTCACATGGGATTCTTATGTTACAGTTACTGGTTTTATCTAAAACAGTTTTAATGTTTTTTTTTGTGTTTTTTAAAGCCCTTTTCCTAAGTGTCAGTGATGTTATTGTTAATCGACATGTATTTTCAAGTTAGGGGAAAAAAAGCAAAGGAAGCATCTAATTTTTTTTTTTTTTTTTTTTAAGTTTTTAAAAAAAAAAAAAAAAAAAAAGCTTGCAAGGCATATTATTGCAGTACTCAGTATAACATTATCCTTTATGATTGCCTAAAAATTATTTTTGTGTATTGAGTAAAAAAACAACAACTCTTTTTAACTTTTTGCAACTCAATAAATTAAATGGTCATAAGTCTCATAATAATACGATTAAACAAGATATCTCATGCATATTAAACAAAAACATTGTTAGGACATTTGTATTACATCTAATTTTTTGACACTTTTGGTCTAGACCAGGGGTCCTCAAACTTTTAAACAAGAGGCCAGATCAGTGTTCTCAGACATTGTCGGGAGTCGGTTTAGGGAAGAATGGCTAATGAGGTTATACATTTTTGGTGCCATATTTGTGGGTGCTAGCCAGGAGGTACTCTTACAGTTACCAGGCGGGCTGGATCTGGTCCGTAGGCCATAGTTTGAGGACCCGTGATCTAGATGGCTCAACATTTAAAATTTCAAATGACTCCAGCGTTAACCCATCAGCAACCTAGCAGGGTTTTCTGTAACACTATACCGGTGCTAAGAATATATTTTTGTAGTTTACCTCACTATTATGAGTAATTATAAGCTGCCTTGGTGCAAGAAATAGATGGTGAGCAATTTTGGTGGGATAAATTATTATTATATAGGTCTCAACTTCTTGTCAGATGACACATTGTTGTGAATGCTCTTAAAGGTATCAGTCTCCACCCTTACTCATTTACCAGGGGGCTTGCATAGTACCTGATGTTACATATAGCTGGGACTCTATTTTAAGAACCAATGTTATATAAACTTTGTGCTCAGTTGAAAAGAAAGATGTTATTATCCATGTACTAGAAAATTACACACGTTTCATTAATTAATGCTAACAAATAACGGGAACATTAGTTTTATTTATAAGTGTTATATATGAAATGTTCATAATTTTTCCATGTTATCTGCATTTAGTCTGTTAACTGCTATAACAGCAAGGCAAAGAACAACGAAAATAAAAGAGTCGTGTGAAAAAAATAACTTAAATGAAAAAAAAAACTTACATTTATTCAAACACTTGAAACATTTTGGTTTATATAACAATTTCAAACTGAGACATTTATTTTAGTATAGTTTTCAAACATCAAAATCTTACATCCATTGCCATCATGCCAGTCTCCTAGGTACACATACTGACATATAATCCTTTTGCAACTGTCTAAGAGACAAGATCACAGTTTAAGAGATAAGATCACGTCAGTTATGGGACAGTAAAAAAAAAACTTGACACAATTGGAGGCCAATCTATATATAAGAAAGTTGAATTTTAAGTGCAGGTTAAATTGCTGGATAGACATTGGAAATCAGCTTTGAATAACCTAGAGCTTATTTTTTTGTAACAGTGTATATGTTAAAAAGCCACCAGTGATGTTGAGTTACCACTATCATGTTATTTATGAATGATTGGCTGGATGTGACATCTGTCCGCATTAGAATCCGTATTAGCCCATTAGTCGGGTGTATTCCTTTGCATAATGTGCCACAGATGTATCATTCTCAGATCTTATCTTGGTATGGCCATAATTTCAAGGATGATAACAGTAATGGGGTTAGCTCAAATAGTGGAGGTGTTAAGAGAATAGACTTACACGATATAATTAACATTGTGTGCTGAGACTTTATTAAACCTATCAATTGAATATTTAATGTCACTGATGATCTTTTCTATTTATCATTTATCAGTATATCATTAAACCTTTGGTGGTTTTCTACGATAAAGGACATATTTAATAGAAATAATTCTATTTCTAATTTGATATGAATATATATTGAAACACATAGTGTTTTCACCATAAATTTCATGAAATGTTAATGAAACCAACATTTCCTACTGATGAACTTTAATGATCCGAAGGTCTTTTCTACTATTGATGAATTTGAAACCAATAGTGTTATCTGCTTTTTTTTTTTTTTTATAGTATTTACTGTACTCCCTAAAGTAGCGAATTTCCACTTGTGTTCTTAGTTCCAGGAAACATCCACTCGGGGGTATCTGGTATTTTTTTTTTTTTTTTTTTATTTGAATATAATAATTTTATTTGCTTTTTTTTTTTTTTTTATAGTATTTACTGTACTCCCTAAAGTAGCGAATTTCCACTTGTGTTCTTAGTTCCAGGAAACATCCACTCGGGGGTATCTGGTAATGACAGTATTATGGCCACCGGTGTGTTCTCAGCCTCTGAGTTATTGCGTGTTACAAGAGGTGAGTCTGGTGTTCTTACTATAATCATTTTTCTCACCATTTTATAGTCCTCTTTAATAGAGAGTAGTGTTAACAGTCTATGATAACAAGTTGAACTAAATTAACTTCTATAAATGTAACCAGATCAGATTTGCTAACAATTTGGGAACATTTTTATTTATCCATGGTTGAACATGAAATGGTTTTGTACAAACACCAAACTCGCAACTTGTTTCATTTGTATTTTGTTTTTTTTGTTTGTTTGTTTTTTTTTGGTGTTATTTTGTATTAAATATAGAACTTTAATGTTTGTTGGAGGACATTCAATTAAAGTTTAATTTATTTTTGTGTGTTAGTTGTGAAGCTTCTTAAAAAGATTATATATTTTATTAAATCTGTGATATATAAATTTGACTAGAAATAGTATGAGGAGCTTTCTCTGAATCTATATGCTAAAACTTAATGTAGCAAAAATCTCTGTTCTCTATATTTGATGAAACTGATGTTTATATGTCTACATTATTACAGCCTCTATAATGTTAACACCGAATGGAACTCACACGCTCCTTCCACAAGGCCGACTGGATTCCCCAAGTTATTACAACTACAGTCCACAAGATCAACATGGATCCATGGTCCCAATGCATCCAGTGGCAATGGCCAATGGTCAGTCCTCTCTCAGCCCTGCTGGAGACTCTTACAGTAAGCTTTGAATTTTATTAAAAAATTGAACATCTTATTTGAATCATCAAATTTAAGACTGAATTAACTTAAATAATGGAAAAAAATTTGCTTTGCAGGCTCTGTGTTTTAGATAATGAAATTATGAGGAGAAATTCACACATATTTTTTGTGAAATATAAAGTACATTTTAAGTATTTTTAATTTAATATTCACATGAATCTAGACATACTCTCAACTAAGTATAATATCCATTGGCAGACAAATAAAAAACAAAAAAAACTGATAGTATCTCGTGTTTACATTGTAATCAATGAAGAGTTGTAAGAGGTGATGCCATTTATTTAATCAAAATATCCTTTGCATGAGGCTTTGAGGTCAGTTTCATACCTCCACCCCCTCCCCCACCCCCCCATCCCCCATTCCTGTCTTTTCAGGTCACTCTCACAAAAAATTAAAGCGTAACCACATGAACTCCATGTCCTCTGTCGAGGATGATGTGGAGAGCGTTGAGGGGGAGGAGAACCTCAGTGGGTACTACAGCAAAGGTGGACTGGCCCATCAGTCATGGCAGGGAGATCACATGGAGCCAGGTCAGACCTTAAAGAGATGAATGGAAAAATTTCGAACACCCTTACCAGTGTTACTCAAACTAAAAAATCCTGTGCTGTAGTTAGCTGGTGCACATGTTTTCAGCCCATTAACCATCCACTTTAATTAAGCTGTATATTTTATATATAATCTTGTTCACATATTCTTTTTTTTTTTTAATCTGAAGATTTGAGAGTAGGAGAAGTGATTTGTTAATAAGGGAATAATAACTAAAGCTATAGATTAAAAAAAATAATAAAACACAACTGAGCTGGTATCTCATGGTAACGGGATGGGCATTTTACAACCACTTTTGAACGCACACATGGCTGTAAACTGTAAATACATGAGATAAAAAAATATTAAACAAACCATGGCAAAGCTGATTCTATCCCAACCTCCTGTTTTGATTTATCTGAGACACTTACATTTCACCATCTGTCTAATCGCGCAATAATTATTGGTCATTGCAGCTCAACTCCAGTTGTGCATAGTTAAAATCTTTATTTAGAGAGGGTAAAAAAAAAAAACTGTTTCAACATAAACTCAATTAAAAAAAAAAAATTAGTATGATAAGATTGTAGAATCTAATAAATGATCGTGTCTACAAATCAGGGTTAAGCCAGGGCTCAACTATGCACTCCCCACACATGATGCTGCCAGTCAAGCCAAAACAGGAGCCGGGTTTCGCTCCTGTGTCCCCCTCGGGTAGCATGGGGGGTCAGCATTCTCGCCAGATGGTTCCTACCCCACCCCGTCCCATGAGCACCCACACCCCGGGTATGATGTCTGTTGGACCATCACATTCTCAACAGCACACCCCACCTGGCCCAGGTATGTTTGTCAGCATGGGATTTTTTTTTTTTAACTGCTAATAATCATTTATTATTTCATAACGGGCAATGATCTGTTACAATGACCAGGGTTGAATTGTTTTTTATTTATATGTAATTTTAAATATATCTTAAGTATTATGTTATCTGTTAAGGTAGCATGGGGGGGCAGCATTCTCGCCAGATGGTTCCTACCCCACCCCGTCCCATGAGCACCCACACCCCGGGTATGATGTCGGTTGGACCATCACATTCTCAACAGCACACCCCACCTGGCCCAGGTATGTTTGTCAGCATGGGATTTTTTTTTTTTTAACTGCTAATAATCATTTATTATTTCATAACGGGCAATGATCTGTTACAATGACCAGGGTTGAATTGTTTTTTATTTATATGTAATTTAAAATATAACTTAAGTATTATGTTATCTGTTACCAATGCAGTACAGGTTGTGAAATTTCAAAGAGTTTCACAAAATCCAATCAGTTCAAATATTTATCTAAGTATAAATTTCTTACAGAATATAGATACAAATTTAATTTTAAAATTTGTTAAGTGAAAAAGGAATACTTTAAAAAAAAAATTAACATTAGAAAGTCAATAGAGATTATGAAGTGCTAATGGCCTGCTGATTATGTATGTGGAAAGTCTACTCTGAGGGTCTTTAAGAATTACAAGTAATTTATCAATCTATCTAATCTTCTTCATTAAGTTAAAGATGATCAAATTTTGCCTAATAAAATAATAGTTTATAGACATCCCATTGTAAGGTGCTATCATTATATGTTTCAGGTTTGAGCCATGTGATGGTTATGGGAGCCCAACATGGGATTAAATATGAGGGCCAACAAAACAACGACACTTTCTCAGATTTTGTCACTCTTGTTTGTCAAGAGGCACAAAATTCTCAAAATCATGTAAGTACTGTCAAAATTTTTTGTCTATTAAAATAAGAGTAAATGAATTGGCCACATTTTCTGTTTAATTTTCAAGGAATCAGTAGTTTCTAGGTATAGGTTTTGAAATCTTAAATTTTATAGGCTTTAAGCCATACTTGACTTCTTAGCGGAAGCCAGACTAAATTTTGTTTGTTAAGGAATTCAATTAAAAATACCAGCAATAGTAACAAATCATTTCTTGGAATTGAATTTTTTTTATTTTGATTAGATATAATGTTAAAGAAATTTATTGATAAAAAATCAAGTGAATTGTTTACATTTATTTAAAACAGCTCAGTTTCCCAAACCTTCACCAATTGTATTCTTCTGCCCTTTTAGTCAGGACAAAATTCGCCACCTATACGGAGTCCAAATCGGCTGACTCAGTTTTTCTCACCTGGTATGTTACCGCCGCCTCCCCCACCTCCTCCAAATTTGGCCCGGCCAGTAGCAATACTTCAAACATCAGATGGCCACACAGTATTGAGTAGCCAGACGTTAAGTACATCTGCAGGTAATTACAAATGTTGTTTTTTAGGTCTCAAAACTCCAAAATGTCTTTTCATGGCAAAACAAAATTTGCCATTTGAGCCGAAAAGCTTTCTGAATACATTTTAATAAAATACTATTCATTTTGTTTTGTTTTGTTAAAACATATTTTAAAACATGAGTTTTGATTTAAGAATTTAATATTTATGAAAGTCATATACAGTAAGGGAGAAATAATATCTATATTTTTTTATTTTTGTTTCTGCTCTGGCAAAAGTCTCTTATTGCTGTTTTAAGTGTAACACCAACAATTTTTGTGTTTGTGCTTCTGGTATAGTTTCCAAACACAAAATGTGTAATTGTACATTTTTGTTTCAGGAGTGGCACTCTCTTATATATGTAATTCTTGTCTACATTAAAAAAGATTATTTGATTCTTCCATCCCATTATCAACAAATTTCCTTATCAAGGGTCCATATTGTTATCTCTTGGTGTAGCCGTTTCAAATGATGTTTAAGTGGTTTCTGTGAGGTCTATGTTGTAGTCTCTAACTTATTTTAAATTCAGGGAGTACCAACAACAACCATCTTGTTTCCCACGGAGGCGTGAACAGCTCACCAACCACACCTCCTGTGAGTCGTACCGTCATGTCTAGTCCATTTAACTTGCTGTCTCGATCTGAGCATGCCTTCCCTCACATACACCCGCAGGTGAGCTTTGCATGATTGTCTTCTTGTGAGCCAACCATCCAAACCGGTCGGTGGGTGGGTGGGGGGGGAAACGACGTTATTGACACAGGCAGCATGTTGTTATTATAAAGATGTTTAATCAGCCTTTGTTTACCTAATGCTCTGATGTCTTTGGAAAACATATTCCTTGAAAATAATTATAGGTTAGTCATGAAGTGATGTTTAGAAGAAATGAAAAGTTTGGATGTTTGGCTCATTTGCTTGATTAGAATTTTTAAGCAGTTATGGCTAGCTGACACTTTCTATGACAGACAACGGCAATAATTAATAATTTAACTAACACCATTTGCTCTAAGGCCTTGGGTTTTTGCCTTGGTGGCCATTCAAAATATCATTCAAAATAACCACGTTTGAAATAAAAGGGTTAATTCAGAATGTTTTGAGCTTTTCAGCTGGCAACATTCAGTTTTAACTGAGTGCAAAATCTGATGCTCAATCTCTGACTAAATATTTCATGATTTTTACAGCAGCAGTAGTTAAGGAAAAAATAATCGATATTTGATTTTCTCGCTCCACTTTGCTATGCATAATCCAGATGCTTGACCACATAGATTTTATCTTGGACCTTCAATTCGGGAGACTGAATAAAATCACTGCTCTGGACAATTGGTCGTGTTGATTTTATGAAAAAAAGATAAATTATCAAAATTGGTTTAATTATTAATGTTTAAAAATCATGATCAGAATTATGTTTTTTTTTTTTTTTTATGTGTCTCTACCATTCCTGGATGATGAAGCCAGTGGAATGGACAGTATAAACATGACGGAGCTCACACACTTTTCAACCATTAGTTTCTTCTCAAAAAACAAAAAAAAATGAGATAAAATCTTAACTCTGTGTTCATGAAATCATACGAAAAGGGGGTTGGAGAAATAGTTTTTAGAATGCATAAACTAAATATGCATGTTAACTGTTTGAAGAGAAACATATCTGAAGTGAAATTAGTTGATCTAAATCAGGGGTTATAAAGCTACAGCCCGCAACGTCAGTTCATCAGGCCCACGGACAGTACTTGTATGTGCTTGATGAAATGTATGGAACATGAGACATTATGATACAATTTAAATTTAAATATTATGTTTAGAATTAGTTAGTTAAAAAAAAATCCAAAAATTATAAAAATATTACAGTTACATAGAGCAAATTTCAAATGAAAAAAGTAAACCCAGAATCAGCTTTCTAGCTTAGTACTTTTTTCGCTATGAATTTTTAAATTTTGTTAGGTAATTTTTTTTACTATGGGCCGCACCTTCACTTGTGACCCCATTCCTCTAATCGCGTCATGTGCAATAACTATAACTCTTATTTTTATAATAATTTAATATCACTTTTATTTCAGCATTAATCATTAATGCTAAGTATTAAAGTTCTAATTATAAAATTAATTTTATCAATATCCTACAATTATAGATAAACTATAACTTATCCAGCTATGTAATATCCATTATTACTTTAAATACGATAAAGATGTTTTGTTTACCGAGTCTAGCATTCATTATCTATATAGTATGTAGTCTATATAAGCATTGTAAGGCATATTGTAAGGCAAGTCGTCCCTTTAAATAATACTGGTGTGGGAGCATTTATTTTGAACTTTCAACTTTTGCACATGCCTAATTAATTTTAGCTTTCTACAACAAATAATTAAATAGTGTTTTCACACGGCACATTCATTATCTTATGAATGAAACTCTGAGGACAGGACATGCAAGTTAATGTGAATGGTTGCCCATGACTACCTTTTGCACACAGCATATTTTGATCATTTATAATTTGGACTATACCGGGTTTTTAAACCTCAAATTAAAACATTCTTGTTTAAATTACTTCGAATTTATCAAATATTTGATGTAAATTGTGGTAATAATTAAATATTTCCCAAGTATTTGCATCTTCCGCCATTCAAAAGGGGGCGGGGTCAAAATTTAGAGAATGATTATGCCACCCAGTCTCGTCATTTTTTCAGTTATCCGGCCCACTTTGAAATAGTTTGGTGACCCCTGATCTAAATCATCAATTCAAAACAAAACAAGAATATTTAGTTGAGTCCGTGTGTGTGGCATGAATAAAGATGCCTGTAATAAAATAAATTGTGTAAGTTTATCATGTACATATCTGGTACAGTTTTTACAAGGATATCACTATTCCTAAATTTCTCAATGTCGTCTTGTAAGACATTAAATATTTCTGCATGTTTTCTATTGTCTTTTACTTTGATAAGTGTAGATAGGACTACATGTGCACCAATCTACTCTTATTCTTAGTAGGCTTTCAAGTTTTTTTATAGCTTGTCCTTAGTGATGTAGTGCCCCCCAAGAATAGTTATCAGTCTTTATTTTCTAAGTCAGCTGAGCTATGTAAAATATTATTCTTTATTCCGTTAGATTATTTGCTTGCGGAATTTCGCCTCCATATCTCAACTATATTCTTAATCTCTTTTAATATGTAACTTTGGTATTTGTGTTAACAAAAATGATGTATTATGACAAAGAACGTTAATACAAGTTTTCTTGCCGAACAGATTACCCTTTGTAGAAATCCAATTTTAAATTGATTTTTGATTAGATAGTTTTCAAAAACCTTATTTAGAAATTGATAATGCTTTAACACCCCTTATTCTGACTAAAAATCTTAATATGAAATTTTAAAATATTTTTATTGACTTTAAACCAACTTATACATGAAGCAATCTTAGTTTTCTTCAAGAATACATGATTTGTCTCACACAAAATTACTTTGGACTGATTCACTTACATAAAAATATATAATTTTAATTGTTTTTTTTTACAAATGTAAGAAATAAAATGCACATCTATGTTTTTTCAAGCCTAACTTTGACTTGCTTTTTTTTTTTCATGTAATTATGTGTAGATTAGTAGGCCTATTTAAATACATTTCCTCTGTGTTCATTACAGGCCTTCAGCTATCCTAGTATAAGCCCAGTGAATGCCATTAGTGGTGTCATTAGCCCAACTACGCTAAGCTTGATTGCCTCTCCCATGGCTACACCCCGAACAACGCCCCGTTCCACCCCCATCCCCAAGTGGAGCTCAAGCTTCATTGCCATGGATGAGAACATGGACTATTCCATGCTGGCAAATATCATGCCTACTGTAAATACAGACGAGGCCTTGCTTGGAGAAGGTAACTGTGTCTGTACGTACATCCATTGGAAACTGTTGGTGGTTTGTGGGAAATAAATCATCTTCATCAACATCTTAAACGACATGTTCATATGGGAATATTTTAAAGTTAGTTCATCAATTCACTACAGAACATTTTTTTTAAATCAGATTATCATATCCAAATTTTACAGGAGAAACTCAATAACCCTTTGAAATGAATTTTTAAAACATTTGGTTGGATCATGAGACAGAAAATGTATTTTCCACTAAAGCAAATTTAAAAAATATTTTTACAGGACTTGAGGAAATTCTAGATCGTAATAAATTTGTAAATGCATTTTTCAAAAATTTGGACTTATGAGACCATAGGCCTGCATTAACTTTTATTGGACATATATTTATTAAGAAAATATAAGTTAACTTTTTATCATATTCCTATGTACCTAAAGAAGAGTAATCATGCAATAACTACAAAAACTATCTCATTTTTGGCCTTGATTTGATATTTTAAAGAAATAAAGCTAATTCCTAACTTTGTTGATAAAATTTTCTTCTTTCAACCCAAAACAGCTGGTTCTCAATGTGTCTCCGCTGGTTCTCAATGTGTCTCCGCTGGTTCTCAATGTGTCTCCGCTGGTTCTCAATGTGTCTCCGCTGGTTCTCAATGTGTCTCCGCTGGTTCTCAATGTGTCTCCGCTGGTTGTTTTTGTATTTGCAATTATTTCACATCTAGATGTAAAATGTTATATTTTCTATTTTCAGACCGTTACTTCTCTGCTGTTCATTCCAACGAAAGCTTGGATTCTTCTAATGGAGCCTCATCTCAAGGGCCTCCATCACAGCAACAACAGCAGCATTCACAACAACTGCCTCAACAACACCAACAACAAGGAAGCTCGGTTCTGTCTCAGCACCACCAGCAGCAGCCTCCTGCCACCCCACAGCAGCCAATGACACCCTCCGGTTCCGACGGGTCCCCGAAGCAAGTCTAACCCCCACCCTTTTTCTGTTCCCCAGAATGGCACAGCCATCAACAGGGAAGTGCTTTACAATCAAACTTCTGTGACTCTATATGAATTTTTTGGATGATGGAGTAGAAACAAACACGTTTCCAATCAAAGCACTTTTTTTCCCCTTCATACAGCAGAATGACGGCTTGTAAACCAGTTGAGTTACTTGTACAACTATTAATATGACTGTATTTATTATATTCTTTCCATCAACTTCTTCTCAGTACTTTTGGCAAAAACCACAATGTGAAAATAACATTGACTAAATGTTTTTAATTATTGCCCTACCACTATTACCGTTACTACTTCTACACACCAACTAAAATACTAATTGAGCACTTCTTTTTATGGTTGAAAAGATCTTCCATTTCTGGATGCTGTTGTTATTATCTATTCTGGCAAGCTTATTTATGGCGTTGTATTTAGTGTGCTTCCCCTTGATCAACGATGCATCAAATACAAGAAGAAAAACATCTCAAATTTGAAACATTTTTTTTTTGAGGTACAATAGAAACTTTGCAATTTTTCTTTTTTAAAAAAAGTATTCTATACATAATGCATTGGGAATATTTTTTTTTTTATAAAAAGAGAAAACTTGAATTGAAATCCTGATTTTTCTCTTTGATCTGATCAAATCTTAAATGGGGACAAACATTCAGGACTTGTAGCCCAAAGCCCAATATGTCATTTCTCTAACACGTTTCATTCTTTGGGAGCGATACAACCACTCTTGGTCTCTTTGCCTGCCCCCCCCCCCATCTCCCTTTTTTCCACTGACAACTGTAGCACAGCATTTTGTTGATTCACACCTTACAAAACTGCAGACTGCTCTCTCTCATCATGGCTGTGTGTGTGCGTGCGCGTACATGTATAAAGTATTTGCTCCAATTTGCCTGTAACAGTTGGCCGATCTACCTCTGCTGGTGAGCACGACAGCTCGCCCTCCCCCCCACCCCCTTACTGTGACATTTTCATTGACTGTTGAGGCTGTTGATATGATCTGATTTAACCACTGATATTCATTTGTAAGCTGTGAACAGTAAGCCACTGTGATGGAGCCCAGAATTGGATTTTCCTTGGTTTTTACATATATCTTTTTTTTTTTTCATTGAGAAAAATCGTAATTGTTTGTATAAACACTAACACGTTCTTCCTATTAATAAGTGCTTGAGAGATGCTTCTGATTGTTATTGGTATATTTTGTAACTTTTTTTTAATGCAGGGAATTTTTTTCTTATACATTTTTTTATGTTCATATTATCCAATCTATAAGCTTTTACTAAAATACTGTTAAATGTAGTGAACCTTATCAGCTGTTAGTAAGATACTTTTAAATGTAGTGAAGCTCATCAGCTGATAGTAAAATACTGTTAGATATAATGAACCTTATCAGCTGTTAGTAAGATACTGTTAGATATAGTGAACCATATCAGCTGTTAGTAAGATACTTTTAAATTTAGTGAACATTATCAGCTGTTAGTAAGATACTGTTAAATGTAGTGAACCTTATCAGCTGTTAGTAAGATACTGTTAAATGTAGTGAACCTTATCAGCTGTTAGTAAGATACTTTTAAATGTAGTGAACCTTATCAGCTGTTAGTAAGATACTGTTAAATGTAGTGAACCTTATCAGCTGTTAGTAAGATACTTTTAAATGTAGTGAACCTTATCAGCTGATAGTAAAATACTGTTATATATAGTGAACCTTTAAAAAAAAGATCAAATTTGTCAATCTCTGTTTTTTTCTCCCCTCCCAAAATTCCGACAAATATTTGCCAAGTGTTTCAAACCAGCAAGACAAAACAAATTTGGACTACTTTATTGAATGAGAATGTTAAATAACTTTCAGCTGTCTGGTTTATTAATTGTTGCTGGAAAGTTGAAGTAAAATTGTGAACTTTATCTTTGCATGAGTCCTCATGTTCATGTCAAAACTGTTGGGGTTTTTTCGTTGGTTTTTTTTTGGTCAGAGAAGTTCAAATAGAAAAACTTGACTAAGTTTGAATTTTTTTATTTTTAAAAAAATAAAGATGCACACATTTGGATGCCTTAAATATGTTGTATAATTTTGTAGCTACCAATTATTTTGGTTTATAGAGTATGTCCATCTAGTGCCTAGGCTGCTACTGCATGAGGTGGGGAAGCGTCTCATTGTTTACCAACATTCATTCAGAGGAATTGAACAGAAGTCTTTCATACCATTTTACTTGACTCTGTCAATAATTTTTTTTTTACTGAGTCTAATCGTTTATTTATTGAATTCTACTAAATCTTTTTTTTTTTTTTTTTTGTTTTGGGGTTGTTTTTTTTTTTTTTTTTTTTTTTTTTTTTTTTTTTTTTGTTTTTTTTTTATGTTGTTTTTTTTTTTTTTTTTTTTTTTTTTTTTTTTTTTTTTTTTTTTTTTGTGTTTTTTCTTTTTTTTTTTGGATTTTTCTTATTTTTTTTTTTTTTTTTTTTGCTATGCAGTGGTGTTTTTTTTTTTCCTCAAAGTTTTCTGGCTCATTACTCACTTGTTATTACATCAGAACACTAAGTTTTCTTTCCTATGAAAAGACACAAAACTTGTTTTTCTCATGATTTAATGGGAACACCATTTAAACCGTGTTCACAGCTCGAGAGAGACTATTTAAAAATATTAGAATTATGATGTTTCTCCTAACATAAAAATTAAAGCTATTGAGGTTGATAGATGATTTTTTTTTTTTACACTCATGGCCTGAGTAAGTGTGACCTGTGATATGGAAAGTGATATTTGAAAAGAAAAAAAAAGTGCAAGCCGAAAATAATTGCAGAGTTGAATGTAATAAAACCATGTGGGCAAAGCTTACGAATATTATAAATAACATGAAAAATAAACAGTAAGCCAAGTGAACTGCATCCCTGATCTATTGAAATGGCACATGAAATATATTTATTTAATTTAACGTATGTCACATAAGCTTTCACGCTGTACACTCATTTGTTATCTATATATATATTTATATTGAGTGCAAATATAACATTTATACAATCTGCTAAACAAGTACTTGTAATAACATTACTCTTTATTAATAATGAAAGAAAGGACTGTATTATTTTTACTTCATCAATTATTTATCCATGAATTTACCCCACACCTTGTTATCATACTTCATTCAGTATTCCGTTTAACCCGTTTTAAAATGTTTTAAAAAAAAAAAGTTTACATGTATGAGTATGGCACTACTGCTCCAACCGAGTATGGCAATCGTGCTCCCAGACATATTTAATAGCTGTTGACCCTGAACTTGTATACTCACTTCTACTTTCCCCCCCCCCCCCCCCAAAAAAAAAACTTTAAACCCTACACTCCAACCCCCACCAACCTTAGACCCTTCATCCCAGACTCAAAGAGCAAACATACTGTAGCAATCAATCATTTTATAGTAAAAATTGAAGCAATCAATCATTTCATGACCTTTATTATTTTTTTGTTCCAATGGTAGAGCACATGTTTAACCATGAATGAAACTGGCGTCTTTCACTCTTCATTTGTCAATGCTTGAGTTTTATTTAAATTCAATAATTAAACATTTTTGTTTTGTTGATCAAATAACTTATTCATGTCATGATATACACATGAGTGTAATGTTTATCCTGAATAACTCTTAGAGCAGTTTTAGCTATTTGTTTTGTTATGACTTAACCCCAGCCATTGTTCTGTTTTTAAATCCCCATTGCCATCTAGCTCTTCCACTGAACATTTTAAACTTGCAAATAATATTGTCCTTGAGAGATGTAAAACATGACCTTATCATAGAATGAATTCCATTATTTTCAGTAGTTGAATAGTTAGTGTTGTTGTTGTTACATTATCTTCATGGTATTGCGACATTTCAATTCCCTGTATTTTCATTTCTCCCCCCCCCCCTTTTTCCTTTTTTGAAAAAAACAAAAAAACAAAAGTACCTCTTGATTACATTATCTTCATGGTATTGCGACATTTCAATTCCCTGTATTTTCATTTACCCCCCCCCCCCCCCTTTTTCCTTTTTTGAAAAAAACAAAAAAACAAAAGTACCTCTTGCTTTTCCTCTCATATTGCGGGCGGAATGCAAACTGGCACATGCAATGTGCTGATTGGCTGTGATAATAAGAAAAACAAACTTCTGTATTAATTATTATTTAAACTGGTTTTGTTCTGTTTTTATTCACCATTGTGAGGGCCTTGATTTGTACCACTGAAAGGGTCATGATATTCTTCTAGCTGCAAGGACCCACTTTGAAATGGCTGTGCTTGCGTATTGTGTAACTGCCTGCTTGTCATGAGGGTAATGCTTATTTAAAAATTATACTGCAGATCAACTTGCAACCTGCACGGATTAGCTGGCAGAGAAACGGCATACAAGCTATTTGATCATTCGACTGAGATTAGTCAATCGTGTAGATACAGTTATAACATTCTGAAATGCATAGCTCATTGGTGGTACTGATCCAGGTAATTCAGTAAAACTATGAGAATATACAGGCTCAAATGCCTACTTGTGTTTAGAAAAAAAAAAAAAAAGTAAGATCATAAATCACCATTTAAAACATGTACTAACAAATAGCATGTAATTAGTGTTAGCCTTAGCTCATTGAATCTTTATGACATGTTTTTGCTACAGAGAGAATGGGTTTGAGAGAGATTTCTAGCTACCATTAGCATTAACCCCTAGCTTGGTGTAGCCCTGTCATTAGGTATAGAATAGGTTGTAGCCCTAACATGTACATACATATAAATTATCATTGTTTACACTTATGACACCCTCAAGTGAACCGTGTGCATAGTTAGGCTCATTCATGGATCTGTTGATTTTTTAAAACGAAATTTCTTTTTATTTGCTTGTCACAGTATTATGTTGATGGTGGAAATGTTCTAAAGTCACTTGATAGCCTAGAAACCGTTATGATGGAAATCTAAGTTGTTGGCTTGCTATGCAGTCTATTTGATGTTTATTTAAAGATCGGTATAGAGGGTTGACCCAACGAGAAGGCGGAGGAGGATGTCAGTAAAGCTAATACCTGGTGCTCTCCTCTCTCTCATATCCTCACTTTGTTCTCATTCCTCAACCCACCACCAATAAAGGGGTGCAATCTTTTTCTCTCTCTTTTATTTTGTTTTAGTTGATTTCCTGTGCATGCTTTGATATGGCTGTTGATGCCGACTTCTATTAGCCAGATTTTTTTTTTTACTACAGATTGCCTTTGTCAATTTGTGGAGCAAGAGTTGCAGGTTGTCCTTTGTGTTGTCCATCCATAAACTCATTGATAACTTGAGCTTGAACATTTTGGGTTTCGATCGAGTCTCTCAATGGAGCATGGTGTCTTCAACAGGGAAATATGGTTTCAATTGTGGAAACCAGTCAATCTCACCATTGAGATTTATCAGATAGGCTATGGATCGATTCTCTCATCTCTCTAAGCTGTTCCATCTATGCAATCTCACCAGTTTACAATGCTTCTTCTTGAATTTTAAGCCGTCATAATTGTGAAGTTTAAAAAAAAAAAAATTTGAGGCCTAGAAAACATCCCAACAATTGTTAGATCTTGTAGTAATAATATGAGTGTCATTGATGTTTGACAGTCTCTCAAGTTGCATTCACACATCTCTTTCACAGATGTTATGTGTCAGATAAGTTTCAGTTCCTGTCACTGTTTTGTTAGGTTACAGTCATTAGAAAGCTCCAATGACCTAAGTCACCAATGCTACAAGTTTTAATTGGATCACTTAAAACACTTCTTCTATCAGTGTCTTTAAATGTTGATCGTGTTTCAGCAGCTGCAACAACAATTTGCAATCACCTGCTCATTCTCTTCAGCACAGTTGGCTTATACTATGGGCAACAAGGAAAGATGATATGTACAGATGTAGTAGCTCAGGTGAGGTGGATGAGTTGGATGGTGGTGTGTGTGGGGGGGGGGGCGGGGTGAGATGGCGTGCAGCATTGTTGAAGTCCACCTAACAACCAAACCCGTTGAAAGGGGCTGGTTGATTTATTCTAAATACTATGGGCAACAAGGAAAGATGATATGTACAGATGTAGTAGCTCAGGTGAGGTGGATGAGTTGGATGGTGGTGTGTGTGGGGGGGGGGGGGCGGGGTGAGATGGCGTGCAGCATTGTTGAAGTCCACCTAACAACCAAACCCGTTGAAAGTGGCTGGTTGATTTATTCTAAGTATTAAATTGTTGCTTTAACTATTTTGTTCCCCATGCATTTCAACATGACCTGGTTAGACGGTGCTGTGTAACTTCCACAGCAGTTTGTAGTGCTATTTGTTTTTGTTGACAAAAGCCTTGTTTATACTGTAAATATCTGTAAATGGAACATTACTGAAAAAAAACTTATTTAAATTTTATATACAACATCTTTTAAGGTAAGAAACGTATTAGATTTATTGAGCTGAAAATTGTTTGCAGCTTTCTTGAGGTGAACATTTTTATATTAACTATTTTTTTTTGGACAGTTGAGTTTTTTAAAATTTGGAAGATACAAGAAAGATCTCAGCATTTTGTTCTTTGCCTTTCTGTTACCAGATGAATTTTTAAATTTGTTTTGATTGAAATAAAAAAAGAGCAATTCTATCAGATCTATGCACTATGGAAATGGCAGTCAGTGGACATAACTCTCTATTATTGTTCATACGGTGGCAGAGCCCATTTAAAATACATCTGTCATTGAAAACTGTAGGTTGAAAAGACTGTCTTTGTTTACATATATCTTTTTAATTACAGTTTTTCCACCATTAGACAGATCTCTCCCCCCCCCCCTCACCACCCAGCCCTGATGACAGTGAGAAAATATATTTCTGGCATAATGTTGGACTTTAT